CACCTGCCCCGCCGCCCCGCCCGAATCGGGCCATTTAGGCCCTGGCAGCCGGCGACACAGAGAACGCCGGCCGGAATGTAGTTTAAAATTCGGCGCGCTTCGCGAACGCGAAGCCATGGCGGCGGAGGGCTGCAGGGCCGCGGCGCGGTACGGCGTGGGTCAATTTTTTCGACCGTCACTCGAAACTCACTCACTCCTCGAATGTTCCGTGTTGTCTGTCCCCTTTGACGGAAATGGGGTGGGCGACGGCGAGGGCGACGAGGACGGCGAGGACGACGAACGCGTCGCATTAGCACTTCATCAAAACACAACACGGAATAGAATATCGCGCAATAATTGGCCTCGTGCATCTTGATAGGCCTCGTCATATCCTGACGAGAATGGGGGCCGCTGCTTGGGCCGCTTCGGCTGCTGTGCTGTGTGCACGGCGTGCCGTCGCGGAAATTATTTATGACTTGATTCCCGAGCAGCAGGAGCAGTGCCGCCGCTCTGACCCCTTCCACTGCATCCCTCCCTCTCCCTTCCTCTCCCAGGCTCTGCTCCCCGCCAACCAGCCAACCCGCCACCGGTCCGACGGCCTATCTTTTAAACAATGCGCCAGCCATCTCCGTCTGGTCGGCGGGGCGTGGCGGGGCGGGCGGGGCGGGGCGGGGCGGGGCGGGGCGGGGCGGGGCGGGGCACGGCCAGGCAGAGCCGCATTCGATTAGCGCGAGACGCGTGGCGGTAATGACACGGCCCCCGGATCGGGGCGGGGTGAGGCGGGGCGGGGTGGGGGAAGTGAAAGGGAGGGTTGTGGGCAGCGCCTGCATGCGCACCCCAAGGTTACACAAGGGGAGGGGTCAAACTGAATCAAGTTACCGATACAAATACATCTCTGTGTGTGCGTTACAACACAAAAGAGGGGGCGTGCCGCCCTCAGAGCGCCGCCGGCGGCGTCGGCGTCGGCGTCGGTCGTAGTGGTGGTGGTAGTGGTGGCAGTGGGGTGGCGCCAGCCGTGGCAAGCGGCTTGTCTTGCTAATTTACACCCTTTTTCTCCGGTAATGGTCGTTGCTAGTTTACTGGTTGCCAGGAGGATGGACCGCTGCTCTCTGGTGGCGCTCTGTCTGTCTGTCTGTCTGTCTGCCTACCTGTGTGTGTCTCTCTCTCTCTCTCTGCGGCCGGCAGCGGTGGTTGGTTCGGCGATTGAAATGGCCAGCAGCAGTGCGGTGGTCGGTCCAAGTGGTGGACAGATGTATCCCCCCTGTAGTGCCAGCTTCCAGCCGGTCCAGGGCCTGGACTCCAGGGCGCGGTCCAGGCTGCATTCCAGGTCAGCTGCCCGGAGTCCCCGGCAGGCGGCGACGCCGTGCGCTGTGGACTGATTCCGAGAGTCCTCCTGTCTTTCTCGCACTCAAGGGGCGTCTCCTGTAGGTGCGAGAGAGACAGAGCTTCGGAGTCAGTCTGCTGCCGGCCGTGCTGCCGTGCCATGCCTCGCCGCCGCAGGGTGGCCGAGCGCGCCGTCTCCCTCCACTGCTCGCTGCGAGCGGGCGGTGAGAATGGGAACATTTGTAAATGTTTGATGCGGGCGGGCCGGGCGGGCCGGGCGGGGTGGGCTCGGGACCAGGCCGGCCCCCTCCCCGGGGACTACAACAAAGCGACCAGCACGCGACTAATTAGCGAACACGCGTGGTCCAGGACGGCGAGCAGGGTGAGCAGGGCGCGCTCCGGCGGCGGGGTCCAGGAGGGGGCGGCAACGGCTTCACCTGAACATGTCGCGGCCTTGATGACGGCCTTGATGACGGCGCCGAGCTCACCGGCAGGAAGTGCCAGGCCGCGGTGGTCGATCCCAAGTCGTCTCCAAGGAGGCCAAACAGGGCGGCGAGTTCGAGAGAGACAGTTCGGAAACAGCCCGCAGAAGGGGTGGCCCACTGCTGCACCTCCTTGGGCTTCCAGCCTCGTGCCTGCTGCCTGCTGGCGGGCTAGGGTCCCGGCGAGGCCCCCGGCGAGGCCCCCGGCGAGGCCACCCCACCCCCTCCTCGGTGATGGTATTTCTCGCCTCGGAATGTTAGTGGCGGGAATGGCCACTACTCTGTGTGCTCAGCCGGTTGCCTACCCTGTCGGCAAGGAGGGAATAGTTGTGAAAGCGACTTGTGAATGGCGTGGCTGCCGCTCCTCGCCCCCGGCGGCCCTCCCCTCCCCTCCCCCTCCCCCTGGTGCCCGGTGGCACACAGCGCTTTAAGTTTGCGGTCAGCCGCTGCGGCGCCCCGGCGGGGCCCTGGCGGCACGCGGCAGTAATAGCGGCCCAACTTGGCGCCTCCTCGCCGTGATGCCGCCACGCCATCATCGCGCCGCGCGCTTTTACGCCGCGCTTAACACCGCCCGCTCCGTGTTTCAATTTTTAATCCTTTTCTCTTCCGTTTTTGTCCGCGGCCGCGGAATTACCCCCTTGCACTCAGCGCGACACGTGCTGCGATGGGATTGGCTGAGCGGGGCGCGGCAGTGGCGCTGCACGGAAGGGGCGCGGCGGACGCGCATGCATAACCCGTGGAGCGCCATCTCATCTCCACGAGAGTGCTGAACCCGCCACTTCGGGGCGGGGCGGGGCGGGGCGGGGCGGGCTACACACGACGCGTAATGCACCTTTGCTTTCATCAGCGAGATTAAAGTGATTGCTCGCAGCGCTCCCTGTCGCTTGATCACCGAAGCGCGCGGCGCCACTCCGGACGGCCGTTGGACGTGCCGCGCTCCTGGGCGAGGACAAGCTGGCTCGCTTCACGCCCGAACTAGCAGCGCAGCGCGCCAGTCGGTGCCACTGCGGATTCCTCGAAACTTGCGCTGCAGTAGCCGACAGATCCCGCACATCGCTGTTGCCGCCGTCTCTCTCGCTCGCACGGGCCGTCGCCGCGCAGGTGCGAGGGAGACAGACCGCCTCGGCCCTGCTCCGCCCTGCGAGATAATTGGTCTCTGTCTTGCCGCCGCGGTCGTGTACCCCCTCCCCCTCGGCAGTCCCCCGCAGCCCTGCGCCCCGTGACCCCCGGAAGGGTGGTGCCTGGCTGCCTGCCTGGCTGCCTGCCTGGTTGCCTGCCTGGCTGCGCCCGGCCGGGCGAGGCACATCAAAGGTTTGCTTCCTGCGACAGAGATAAACCCTAATCCAGCGCTGATGTCCGTGCCGCCAGCCCTGCCAGGGCCGCGGGGCCGCAGGGCCGCAGGGCGGGGTGCCGCCGGTCTGCCGGGCCGAGGGCTGCCGAGGGCTGCCGAGGGCGGGAAGCCAGTTGAATGGTTCATGACGCCGCCGCGCCGCCCGCGCCCCGGTCGCCTGATGAATCAAATATGAAGGCGATGAAAAATTTAATTAACGCCCTCCGGCTCAAAGATAGTACGGGCGATGCCTAGCAGTGCTGCGCCGCGCTCCTACAGTGGCGCGGCTGCGCGCTCCCCGCGTTACACTTGGCCGTCAATGAAGAAACTTTGGCCGTGGAGTGCTCGGCGCAGTCCTCGTGGAGGCGCTCCCGGACGCGCCGGGCGGTAGCTGAGCCGGCGGTGGTAGCTGACGGTAGCTGGCGGTAGCTGGCGGTAGCTGTCACCCGTAAAGTCTCGCACCTCCGCGATGATCACCCTGCCGTTTACGGGTTCGGCACGGTCGCCTACTCGGTCGGGCCGCCGGCTCGGCCACGGGCTGCCAGCTCGGTCAGACCGCCGGCTCGGCCCGACTGCCCCGTCCGTCCGCCGGGGGCTGTTAGCACTCCACCCTCCGTGCCGCGCTGCCCCGCCCGAGCGACGCCCAAGTCATCCCAGGGCGGACAGGCGTCGGCCGCCCGGTCGGCCTAGACAAACTCATGTGTGGATAGGCAAATGTTTATTTTACGTTACGAAGTGACCGCCGACCGGAACGGAACGCCGGAACGCCCGAACCGGGGCGGGGCGGTGGTGGCTCCGCACGCCAGGGAGTGGGCGCTGCGTTTAGCCAGGAGACGTTTTCGTCGCTGTGTCTCTCTCGCACCTATACGGAACGCCCCATGGGTGCGAGGGAGACAGAGCGACGGAGTCAGTCTGGGTGCCGTTTCAGCCAGGCCCCTGCGGAGTCCAGGGTAGGCAACCCGGCGGCACACCCGCACGCGGGCTGCCTACCCGGCACGGCGCTCCCGGCCGCGCAGCGCGCAGCAAGGCAGCAGAGGGGCGACCCCTTCCCCCTCCCCCTGCCGGCCCGCCTGCGCGGCTGCTGCGGATTCCTAGCCAGCCATTACGGGGTCGCTTCGGTGCGGCGGTGTCGTCCCGCCCCGCCCCACCAAGTAGGCCTCGCTGGAGGTGCGGTCCGGGTCTCAAACGCAAACACAGGGCCCGGGCCGGCTCCCCTCGGCGGGGCCGTGGCGGGGCCGTGGGGGGCCCTCGCTAATTATGGCCTTTACGCGGCAGCCGTCGCCCGGAATGCCGGAGACAGTTTTGTTGTTGTTGTTGGCTGCGATAAAAATTCATCGTGGTCGTTGTTGCTGTCGTCGCTGTGGCGGTGTGATGTATGACGTGCCAGCGCGGTGATCGACTAGCGGCGAATCTCGCGGAGGTAATCTTTGCTGCGAGTTGCCTGGCGGCGCGGCGGCTCTGCTAGTGTAGTGTGCCTCTCCGGCCGTGCGGCGGCCAGGTGCCGAAGTTACGGCCGGAGACGACGCCGCACAGTGGCGCGGTAATCTGTTGGGAGGTGCATCCTACGACCCGCGCCCGGCGTGCCCGGCAGTGCGGCGCCGCCCCCCGCCGGCCTGACCCACATCCCTCCAGGATGACGACGATGACGCACTTGGCGGCCAGACCGGCGGATTGCCCGGCTGTCTCGCCAAACGCTGCACAGTGGGCCAGGAGACCGGTGGAGGTGGCCGAAATTCTAGACGCGTTTTGACCTCCAAAGTCACCAAATGGGACTCGAACCGAACGTGTGAACCCACCAATGAACAGCTCTCCGAACGAGGAATTCATTGATGGGGTCACACGCACTGAGTGCCGCCCCTAACCTCTCTCTCTCTGTCTGCTTCCAGGATCCGGCAGGAGATGAACGGCGGTGCGTGGTGCCCCAAGGCGCAGATCTCGTCCGAGGTGCGCGAGTACCTGGAGGTGGACCTGCGCGACGCGCACCTCATCACGCGCACCGAGACGCAGGGCCGCTTCGGCAACGGCCAGGGCCAGGAGTACGCCGAGTACTTCATGCTGGAGTACTGGCGGCCCGGCATCAACCGCTGGGTGCCGTACCGCGACCACAGCGGCGATAAGGTGAGTCGGGACGCGGGTTCAAACACTCGCCTTTTTTTTTTTTTTTTGACAGTGTGACAGGGCGGCTCATCCCGTTTACGGCACCGCAAAACTGCCGGCCCACCAGGCGCGCGCACCGCGCGCAGCAGCGTGCTTTAAAAACATTTTTTTTCTAAAAAAAAAAGAAAACAACAACAAAAACACAAGAGTGCCTCGGCCTAAGCAGGGCAATAAAGCGGTGCCAACGCAACAAAAGGAAAACACTTAATGTGCGCACCGCAGTATGGCTGCTGCTGGAATTGAAAGCCGCGGTGGCAGTGCGTGGCAGTTGGCCGGCCTGCCTGTCGCCGCCAGCGTGACGTCATTTGCTGCCAGTACGCTGCCAGCACTGCCGGCAATGCCGGCACTGCCCGTATGAAAAAATTATTACAACCTGGCGGGCCTTTAATTACGTCGTGACCGGCATTTGTGTGCGTGTGTGTGTGTGTGAGTGTGTGTTAAAAATAAAGACTCTAGTTTTTTCGCGGTGTATTCCTCTCCTCCTTGTCGCTCCAGCCGCGCCACTGGTGAAAAATACTGCCCGTTTTGCCGGGATGGCGGCGGCGGCGCGGCGGAAAAGTTTGGCACGGCGGGTAGTTTTAGGCCTGGCTTCTTATCTCCGGCGCATCCCTGCCTGATGCTCCAGCCGCCACACTGGAAGACTTTTCGCCCGGCCGCGCCGTGTCGAGCCGGGGGCCAGCCGGGCGACCTATGATTAATAACACTTTCGTCAGGGGTGCTAGTGCGGCAGACAGTGAGGGGGAGTTGGCGGTGGAGAGAAAGGGGGGGGGGGTAGTTTTGGCGCGGGTGTGCCAGACGCGGCGGCCGGGAAGCTGCCGGACACCCTGCTGGACCACTCAGCGATACACTGCAAGTTTTACTTTCTTTTCTTCTCGCCGGGAAGGCGCGCTCCAAATAGCGATGATCGGCTTTATCGTCCTTCGGTGGGCAATGGAGGACGCGGAGGACATGGAGGCGGCGACGAAGCCCGACCGGGCTGCAGTGCTGCAGCGGGGACGCCGGCGGGAAGCCCTGCCCCTCCACGAGGACGAGGAGGTGGATGAGCTTCTACCGGCGGCAGGGGAGCGGCGGCAGCGACGGGGATATTTTCAGAGAAATAAACCTGCGAAGAAGGAAAACAGAGAAATTCGAGGAAAGTTTGTGGAGCGCGCAGCGCGCGCAAGACGCACAGAGTCGTCGTCGTCTGGCGGCCCTTTGCTGTCCGGCAGGCTCGGCGCGGACACCCCTTTCGCGGCGCCGTCTCTCTCGCACTCACGGGGCGCCCCGTGGGCCCGTAGGGGTGCGAGAGAGACGGAGCGGCGAGACACTGCCCGCCCCTGTCCAGGAGGAGGCCCCGTTTGCCCAGACGGCTTGCACTGCGTCTGGCGCTCCCCGGCCGTCCAGGCCGTACGCCTCGCCGTACGCCGTGCGTCCCTCAGGGCGGCAAAGCACTGCTGGCCCGCCCTTTGACCTGCCCCAGCACTGCGTGACGTCCGTCCCGCCGCTCAAAAGAACAAAATATTCTTTTTTGTGCCGCTCAAAGTATTATTTTTCTTTAAAAAAAAAATCGCAGCAGAGTATAGTACTATGAGAAATGTCTCGGAGCGGCATGGCGGCAGTCAGGTAATTGTCGCATGATCCGACAGAGGCACAGAGTGAGCGTGGTTCGCAGGGAGCAGCTGTCAGACGGCATTAGCGTCAGTGTTTGAGTGTGTATGTGTGTGTGTGTGTGTGCGGGAGGCCCGCAGGCGCGGCGCACGGCCACACACGCACACACACACACACACGCACACGCACCAAACACACGCACCACACGCACTCACACTACCGCAAGGTATAATGCGTTGGTGTAGGTCGGGCCGGATTATTGGTTCCCAGGGCACGGCGCCAATATTTCGAAATATAAAGAACAGCGCGGACCGGTGGCGGGCGGCTTAAGCCTCGGGCGCGCATTAAAACGAAAACGAGCAAAAACAAAACAAAAACCCACCAAGACAATAAAGTTTCCACCATTCTTATTTTTGCGCAGTGCGGAAATTAATATTTGTCCTTTTCGCGGCGGTATTCCCGTTTCCAGTGTGTGTGCGTGCTGCGGGGCCAGGGCAGGGCCAGGGCCGGGCCGCTCAGCAGGATGGGGGCGTGGCGCAAACACGCCGCATTGCGTTAATCAGGGTCCGCAACACCCCGTTTTACCCTTCAAATTTTTGTTTCGTCGTTGAGACCGTAGAAAAGTTACATGTCATTTTGAACCGCGGAAGGGTGATGCCAGCGCCGTTGGCGGTGACTTCCGGAAGCTCAGAGGAGGGAAGTAAAACAGACCACGCCGAGCCGTCGCGGCAGCTGTCCTTGTCGCGCCGCTGCGGGGCGCCGAAGGAGTGCGAGCGAGACAGAGCGACGGGAAGGCCCATTGCGGCTTCCGGCAACCTTGTTCGGGGCGGCGAGGCAAGGCCGGCAAGGGTTGGCGCCTCTGCCCCTCTCTCCCTCCTCCTTCCTCTTCACACCCACCCCAGCTCGCCGGGCTAGCCTGCCAACTCGAACGGCCACACCCAGTCACCTGCTCCCGCCCCGTCAACTCATTTGCATTCTCCTTTTTTTCGCACCGGCCTGCTGATTCAGATCCCGGGATACCTTTGCTGGCGGTGCCCCGGCGGGGCTGTTTGCTCGAGGTGCCCGATAGAGGGTCTCTCCGGTCCAAGTCCCGGCCATGTGTCTCCACGTGGCTTGTCCTGCGTGCGGCCGGGCTAGGCTGGCCACCCTGCAGGCTGCTTCCGAGAGTCGTCGCTCTGTCTCTCTCGCACTCATGGGGCGTCCCGTGTGGGTGGGAGGGAGACAGACTCTCGGTCTGCTGCCCAGCACTCCGCCCGCCGCAAAGTTTACCCCGGGAGGTCAAGGCCGCACTGCGCGCCACTGTCGCTGTCTCTCTCGCACCACCGCCCTCTCTCTATCTCTCTCGCACTGCCTGTCCGCCGCAGGACTGCGCGCCGTGCGCTGTTTTCCAGATTGGAGGCACGTGCACGCCTGCATTATACATCCAGTTTTCGGCTTTCCCTTTCAGACTCCCAGTCCGCCGCTGTTGCTGCTTTTCTTTTCCGGGACACACACACTCGCACGCGAAACACACGCAGACCTGGCATTCCAATTTATATTCCCCAGTTTCCTCGTCGCGGATTAAGCGCTCGCGAATCTCGTGTTGTTTCAGTGGTAACGCCGATGCGGCCGTCTTCGAAGCGGCCCGCCCGCGCGCCGCCGGAATCGCCCCGGAGGCCGGCCCGGAGGAGGCAGCCCCGGAGGCAGCCCGGCCGATACCACGATGGGCTGCGGGCACGCGAGTCCGGACCGCGTCTCTCGGTCCCGGCGGCGGTCCGGGGCGCCCAGCCCGGAGCCCGGAGTCCGGAGTCCTTGTTGCGCCCAGGCTCCGGCCGCTCCGGCTGCGGCTCCGGGGCGCCTTGATGTATGGTTCATTTCAATCCGTAAATCCCCGCGCTCGTCCGCCCGGATTTACGGCATATTGATAATTCGCAGCTCTGTCTCTCTCGCACGCACGCGAGGGAGGTGGCAGGCTGTGCGTGCTCCGTCTCGCTCGCACTCACGAGACACCCCGTGGAGTGAGAGAGACAGAGCGCTGCTTGGACTGGGCAGCGCGCACCACGGATTGCCGGCAAATAATAATCGGCTCCAGGAAAGAAAAGAACAACGTTGATTGAGCGAAGGGACGAGTGAGGATGGAATTGGAATCGCCGAGCTCGAGATGTGTTTCTCGGTAAACGAGTCTTTTCCCCGATTTATTCGTGGTTTGTAGTGCACGCTGCGCGCGGGCCCACCACGGGGCTGTGGTGTATTCTCTTACCTCTGCCTCTGCAATGAGAAGATATGGCTGGCTTTCGAAGATATGTTGGCCCTGGTCGTCCGAAGCGGCGTGGCGGCCTGGGGGGTGGCTCGGCGCCCTGGCGGCAGCGGGGTCGCGCGGTGGTCCTTACTCCTGCTTCCGTTCGTGTTTTCGCCGTTTGCCCCCGAAAAAGGAACCGTCTCTAAATTTTTCATAATCCCAGGGCGCCGCGCAGCCGCGAAGCAGGGGGCGGAAAATATGCATGTGGGTGCACGGGCGCGCGGTGGGTATCCGGCCGACACAAAAAAGTGGGTCACGAATCGGAACCTCGGGGAAACCCACACGACCTCGCCGCGCCCATGCAGGCCCTGCAGGCCATGCAGACTGCATCAACAGCAGGCTGTTCCGAGCAGCGAGGCTCCGTCTCTCTCGCACTCACGCGGCGGCCCGCAGCAGCGGTGCGAGAGAGACGGTCCGCACTCCGTGACGCCGCCATGCACGTCCCCGCCAAGGTCGCGCCCTACTCCTTTATTGCCCGGCGGCATCTGGACGACACTGTTCGAAGGTCGCCGACGGCAGCGGGAGGGTCGGGCCGAGGACGCCGTCGGACGGGCGGCGACACGTCCAGGGCGTCCCCGCCGCGCCCCGCCACGCCCCGCCGCCATCACGCGTGCGGGCGTGCCAGCCGGGCGTGCCAGCCGGGCGCGCCAGCCACCCGATCATCAGGAAATGACCTACCGGGTGGGGTGGGGTGGGGTTCACGTCGAGCAGGCCCTCCTCGTGCACCGCCCCGCCCGGCCCTGCCCGCTACTTTCAATTCCGACCTCGTCCGCGACACGCTCTGCCATCGCCATGCTTTTCCGGGCGAAGGCTTCTCCCCGCCGCCGCCGCCGCCGCCCCATGCGCCTCACTCGGCAAATCCAGCCCCCTGGAACCGCCGCCCCCGGCCCGCCCCCGGCCCGCCCCCGGCCCGCCCCCGGCCCTGCACTCGTGGAGGTTCTCGGCCTGCATCGCCTCACTCCGGAGGGATTAGCCGGCACACCCGACTCGACTCGTCGAACGCCGCGACTTCCGTCTTCCGTCTCACTCTGACACTCTGGCTTGCCCGCGTGCCAGACGAGGACTCCAACATCCTCGCCGTCGCCGCATTTCTCCATCTCTCCGCGCTGTCACGATTTTAATTACTTTTCGGCGGCCAGGCGGCCAGCAAGCGCAGTCCAGTCTTTTCCCTCAACTTTATGGGCAACACGACTATGGCTGCTGCGCGCTCGCCGCTCGTGCGGGAGGTGACGCGGCTGCGTCTGTCTGTCTGTCTGTCTGTCTGTCTGTCTGTCTGTCTGTCTGTCTGTCCGTCTGTTTCATTCCTGCCATAAACAGCCGGGTGCATTGCACGGCGCGCGCGTTACCGATAACTGATGAAGAAAAATTAAATTGAATGAAAAGCGCCGCGTCTCTCTCTCTCTCTCTCTCTCTCTCTCTCTCTCTCTCTCTCTCTCTCTCTCTCTCTCTCTCTCTCTCTCTCTCTCTCTCTCTCTCTCTCTCACTCTCTCTCGCTGCACGGAGCCAGGATGGCGGGAAGGATATTTATTGGCAGGTTCCGGAGAGCCGACCGCGGCACCGCGGCGGCCAGACACGGCGGCGGTGCCTTTCTCCGAGCGATACTGCCCCTTGTGAATAATGGCATCTCCACCGCGCGATGCTTTCGTGCATTTCTCGCTCACGGTGTGTGTGTGTGTGTGTGTGTGTGTGTGTGTGTGTGTGTGTGTGTGTGTGTGTGTGTGTGTACGTGTGTGCGTGCGCGTGTTGGCAAGGCGGAACGCTCACCTGCCGCTCACTGTCATGAATTACGACGGAAAAGGCAGAAAGGGAGGCGTTTTCGTAACGCCAGAAGTGTTGCTGCTTGCCTGCCTGCCGAGGCGTGGGGCGTCCACTATCAATAACTTCTTTGCGCTGTGTGTGTAGGTGTGTGTGTGTGTCGCCTTTTACCCAGCCGCTGACCGGCGTGTCCCTGCTTCTGCTGCAGGTGCTGCCGGCCAACACCAACACGTACATCGTGGCGCGGCAGGATCTGGCGCTGCCCTTCGTGGCCACCAAGGTGCGCTTCCTGCCGCACAGCGAGCACCCCAGGACGGTGTGCATGCGCGTCGAGCTCTACGGATGCCTCTGGAGTGAGTACCTTGTTATTCGCAGTGACGGAGCGCCGCACAGTGGGGCAGAAGACCGGTGGAGGCGGACAAAACTCTAAACGCGTTTTGAGGTCATTAGTCGCTAAATAGAACTCGAACCGAACGTGTGACCCCACCAATTTGAGCGCTGACCTCGGAAAGCTGTCAAAGTGTTGAAAATCAAATATTGCTGACTTTGGGCGGCCACTGCGTCCAATTTAGTTGCGGTCAAAGGCCTCCCTCAACGCACTAGTTTTCTAAAGACCCTACGCTGCCATGCCCCGGCTCGGGAAGGCTCTGACCGCTGATAGTTTGGGAGCAGTGGCCTCGCAAAATGGTCAAAAAGTGGACGAATCTCCCAAAGTAGCCGTTTTAGCTGTCTTTGGGCGGCCACTGCGTCCAATTTAGTTGCGGTCAAAGGCCTCCCTCAACGCACTAGTTTTCTTAAGACCCTACGCTGTCATGCCCCGGCTCGGGAAGGCTCTGACCGCTGATAGTTTGGGAGCAGTGGCCTCGCAAAATGGTCAAAAAGTGGATTAATCTTCCAAAGTAGCCGTTTTAGCTGCGTCCAATTTAGTTGCGGTCAAAGGCCTCCCTCAACACCCTAGTATTCTTAAGACCGAGGCGCGCCACGGCCTTGCTTAGCACTCCTCCGCGTCAGTTTGGCGGCACCGGAGCGCCACTGGCATAGCCGGGCATCGCCGGGCATAGCGGAGCGTAGAGTGTTTGTTGTTCTCCAAGTCGCATTCGTCGCCCCCTCCCCCTCCCCCTGGCGGCCGCCTGGCCGGGCCTGCCCGCCCCGGGCCGTTTGTTGGTGGTGGTAAAACTAATGCGACTGGCGGCTGGTATCTCATCGGCCGCTCGGCCATTTGTCGTGGACCTGGCCGCGCCGTGGCCGCGCCGTCGGGGAGACTGCAGCCCTGCCGGCCCTGCCGCCCTCGGCTCGGCCTGGCCGAAGCCCCGCAGGTTCCAGGGCGGCTCCAGGGCCGCTCCAGGGAGGGGGAAGCGTCGCGCCCTGCTGGGCAACTTCTGCGGCCACAAAAGTGTCTCCGTGTCGTCCGCAGCAAGTTGCACGCAAGCTGAAGCAACGCGGGGAGGGTGACGCTGGGGGAAGGTTCGCTAGCGCCGGGACTCGCAGGAGGGAGACACGACCCAGACAGGGAGCACCTGCGCCTCCCATCCTCTTTATCTCTCTCGCTCGCTCGCAGCAGCAGCCTCGCATTCTCCGACGCCCTTCCCAACACCGCAACCAGGTGGTGCGCGTCGCCCGCCCGGCTGGAGTCCGCAGCCCCCGGCGGGGAGGGGCGCGGAGGGGCGGGGCCCTCAACAGGCAGATTCATTACTTGGGGATACTCGGAGGTACCAACCACGTAGGACTCCCCACGAGCGTCCCGAAGTGTATTTCTGGCGCGGACTGTACTTCGTACTTCACAGTGCCATCCCCGCTAATCGTCGTCGCGCAGGTACACTAGGTACAGTCTCGCACAGCAGTGGCGCCACTCCGTTGATCACCGCCGCCGCGCCGCCCAAGTTTTGATTATCCTGAGCGGCGGCGGTTTGCGAGCAAAGAGCCATAAAACAGGGCATTTCGGGCGAGGCTGCACTGCCCTGCCTGCCCATTCATCGCGCTCCCCTGTAGCACTCCGTGCACGGGCGTGCGGCCGGCACGGCGGCACGCGGGGCGCAACCGCACGGCTGGCCCCCGCCTGGCCGCCGCCTTTTGGGACGCCGTCCCCGAGGCCGCCTGGCCGCCGCCACCCTCGGCCGCCCCTCAAGTACATGATAGCCCGTACGCAACCGGGTCACGCTTCGCCTCGGCCCCATCCCCGCTCCCCGCTCCGCCCGGTGCACTTTGATTCCCGTGCGGAAGACGAGCCCCTTTGGCCGCCCCGCCCCGCCCCGGAGCGCCACCAGCACGCCCCGTCATGCTCGGCCACCCGCCACTCAAGGGCCGAGCGCGCGAGGGGCGACACGGGAACGCGGTGTGACTTGGTATGCCGCGGCGCCGCCTTTACGTCTTTTTTCCGCCGCTCTGTTCCCGGACACGCACACACACACACACTTGCCTACGCGCGCCGCTTTGGCCCCTTGAACCCGCCTGGCAGGGCATCTAACGTCAAAATTCCCAGACTGGTGCTAATATTCACTTATCCACTCCCGTCACGTGCCGCGGGGTCGCCGCCGCCGCCACCGCGCTCCCCAGCGCCACCCTCCCCGGCAGAGCGTACACCTTGGAGGGTCCGACGTCATCAGCGCCGACGCCTTTTTCCTTCCTTGTCCCTCGCCGCCGAGCCGTCGAACGCGGCGCGAGAATCGACGCGCGGACGAATCCTTGATGGCGGCATAAATCAAGGGCGCGCGTGACGACGGGGCGTTTGCACGTGGTGACGAAAGAGCGCGCCGACGGCCGTGTCCGCGACTGCAGGATGACGCAATGAGCGTGACGAAGACTTTAACCGGGCGCGAGTGACGACTGTCGGTACAATGTCGTGCGGAATGTCGCGCGTGACGACGAGCTCGTGACGGAGAGCGTGACAAGGGTCCCGTGTCATGCGGGGCGCGCGTGACGAATCGTCGTGACGACGGCCGTGTCATACCGAGGCGTGACTCGCAAGTTGGCCGTCGGCCCCCTCCGCGTCCTCGAGGGCGGCGACGTGGCGGCGCGGTGGCGGGTGGTGGCGGGGACCCCCCGGGGGAGCTGGACCCCTGTCTGTGACTCCCCAGTGGCAGTGGCCGTCGAGGCCGGACCGTGCGGCACAGACCAGACCCTGTCGTCGCCTCAAGTAGACACTAAAATCCCCTTAGCCGAACCCCGCCGGGGGTTCGCCCAGCCAGCCGGAGTCCCCATCCCGCTGCGAGCCCGAAGCCCGAACCCCGCCCCGGCGCGCCGCCGACGGCCGCCGATCCCCACGGGCCGAAAGTAGTGGCTGACCCTGCCGAAACTTTGACCCGGCCGACTTGGGCTCATCGCTAGGCCCACAATAATCCGGGCCGATTATGATTCCCCTCGACCCTCACCGAACCGCGCATCCAAACGGCCGATAACGCGCCGGCCGGCCGACTGTCCTCGCTCTGTCTCTCTCGCACTCGAGGAGCGTCCCGACCAGGTGCGAGGGAGACGGCGCCGTTTAAAACGATATCCGCCCGCTGAGCGATTAGGGCAGGCTCCTCGATTCTTGTGGCGGTCACGTAATAGTTTCTCTGGCAAAACGATTTGTTTGCCGCGCGCTGCGGCGCCGCGCTCACACGGGCCGTGGCGTGCTGGCTGGCGTGGCGGGCGTCGCGTCGTGTCTGGCCGCGTGTCTGCTGCGGGGGGTTGCCGCCGTGCCCAGGCCGTGCCGTGACTCGCATGGTCAATGCGGGGCTGGCGGGGCTGGCGGGGCTGGCGGGGCTGGCGGGGCTGGCGGGGCTGGCGGGGCTGGCGGGGCTGGCTGCTGCGCCCGGAGCTGCACTCAAACTCTCGAGACCCCTGTAACCAGAGAGGGGGAGGGACGAGGGTGTATATAGCATTCTTGCACTCTACATCCGCCGAGCACGTCGACGGCGCCGGCATCGGGATGAGAACACTGCAAACAAGAACAAAAGACGCGCCGCAATCCCGATCGCTGTTCCCTATAATGTTGTTGTTGTTGCTCTGTTGTTAATGTTTTGTTATTGTCGTTGCAGAGGGCGTGCTGCGCTACGTGGCCTCGCCGGCGGACATCCCGGACCGCAGCTACGACGGCGGCCTCGGTCAGCTGGTGGACGGGCTCCGCGGCCCGGACGACTACCGCAACCACGAGGAGGACGCGCTGCGTAAGTTGTAAAAAAAAAATGGTTTCGGTCGAACAGAAGCAGTCAGTGTCCAAAGAGAGTCGCGCGTTGTGGCGGCGGAGTGAAGCAGGCTGTGTGTTCCGAGCACACACACTGTACGTGGATAGGCGAACACAAAGCCTGCAGGCCGCAAGGCCGAAGCTTTGACAAACTCGGTGGGAGTTTTCTTGGTGGAGCCGCCGAGGGTGAGGCCGCCGTGGGCCGCCGTGCGCCCCGCGAGGAAAAGCGCAGCGCCAACAACAGTGTCGTTTTAAACATTAACGAAATGTGCGCGCTAAATGTTGCAGGGCCGCCAGGGCCGGGGCACATCTTGTGTGAGGCGGGATCATGTTTCTACCGTGGACGTGTGGCGGGGCGGGGCGCCGGGGCGCTCGCTACCCGCTGCCCCGGTGCTTCCACGTAAAGCAGGGGCGGAGATTAAATTTTGAACGATTTTCCAGGGCTTTCCACGCCGGGACTGCCAAACCGCGATTTCCTCACACTTGTCACCGTTTCGACCAACTTTGCAGCAAAAATAAAATTAAGGAGTGTGCGGGAAATGGTGAAAGCGGACTCTGCGGCCGGCCGTTCCGCCGTGAAATATCCCCGAGGCTAGAATTGTTGTGTTCCGATTTGCCTGCTCCTTGCACCGAGAAATGAGGGCACTCGGAGCCACTTGCTGGGGGCGTCCGGGGATGCACCGGTGGTGGACGGCGCCCCGACGACGCCGCGGCCGGGGGAGAGAGACGCGAGGCCAGGACGACGACCATGATGAAGTCAAAACGAAAGACAACGGCAAACAGCACGCGCGCGGGCACGCTCGGCTCGGGAGGAAGAGCTCACCGTGCTGGCGTGCTGGGCCCCGAGGCCCCGAGGCTGCCGTCAAGCCCTCCCCGCGCCTCGGCGCGCCTCGCGGCCGGTGGGACACACAAGTGACGCCGTGCTGCCGCATATTTTACCGCCGCGCACCGCACCGGCCACGCCAGCCGCGCCGGTCACTAAGACCTCCCCGTCGAGGCCACGGCGGCGGGGCTGGCCGCGGGGGCCACCAGGCCGGTAGAGCCCCGCCTCCTTAAACACAGCCGGATGAAGAAGACGCCCGGCCACTGTTTGACGGCGTCTTTGGCGACCACTTAATCCGGGTCTTCTTTCCCCCCCGACGAGTGGCGGACGGCGAGGACGCCGAGGACGCCGAGGACGGTGCCAAGGCACAAAGGGTTAATCAGAGATTTGTCAGGTGGGCGACCCCGGCGTGGCGCGCCGCCCCTCAGCATCTCACGCTCCGTCTCTCTTAATTGGGTTCCGAGCGGCCAATGCTGAGAGGGTTAATCCCCCCGCCAGCCCTCGCGCCAGTCGGACCACCACCACGACGACGGCGGTCTCGGGCCGCCGCGACGGTGCTGCGCGGTGCGCGGTGCTGCCACCGCGGTGGCCTTTGGACGGGCTGCGGACTGGCCGGCCCGGGCCCGGCTCGGCCACAGACCGCGCGCGGCGCTTTGAAGTCGGCTATAGTCGTTGAGTCGCTTGCCGTGCTTGGCCACGACCGCAGGGGTGCACTCGGCAGCGCCGAGTCCCGACGGTGGAGTGGCGGCCGTGGCGGCTTCGGGCCATCCCCCCCGGGATCCGGGATCAAGGATCACCGTCCCCGGCCATCGACACTGTCGACACACACACAAGGCCGAGCGGCTAAGTGGCTAAGGGGCGAATTAGAAGCGAGTCTCTCCACCCCACCGTAAGGCCGGCCCCAGGGACGGACTTGGGCCGAAGAAGAATCGAGAGCAGTGAGCGATGGAGCGATCGTCCCCAGGGTGTGGTGGCCGAGGCCCAGGCCGGGGGGCGTGCGTCGGTCCGACGTGCCCTGCCCGGCTCGTCCTGCCTCGTCCTGCCTGGTCGCGGGATTAACGCGCCAAAAAAGGGCGGGAAAACGTGCCGCCGTCGCGACGCGTCGTCGCGGACCTCATTGTCGCGCCGGTACCTGTTTAAAACCCCCACACTGCTGCTCGCCCTCATCCCTCATGCCCCTCATCCCGTAAGCCGTCTCGACAGAGCGCTGTTGTGGCGTGTGTTTTTTTTTGTTTTGCGGGCTCGTTACCAGCCAGCGCGCCTGGGGCGGCCTGGGGCGGCGGCGCGGTGGGAGGGGCGCCGCGGCATCGCGACCCTCCACGACGACGCACTGCTTCTTCATGCTCAGGTGGGCGGAACGCGCCCGCGGCCAGCGGCAAGCAGCGGCAAGCCCCCGCCGCGGCGCCGCCGCACGCGCGCCCCCTTACCCTGGGCAAAAACAGTGCGGCGGGACGTCGGGTCGACGGCGGCCTCATCCCGTCAAAGATGGCGTTTGTACTGTTGTTGTTGTTGTTGTTGACGGCGCTGCTGTCGGTGTTGCAGAGGGCCGCTGGGTGGGCTGGCGCAACGACTCGCTCCGCGGCCGGCCCGTCGAGATCACCTTCCACTTCGGCATGCCCAGGGAGTTCGTGGCCATCCGGCTGCACCTCAACGACCGGCAGAGCCACAGCGCGCAGGTCAGTGCCACTGTAAGGCGAGGCGTTGGCGCGGGGTTTCAATCTGGAAGGGAAATATTGACTGTGTCGTTGGAACAGGTGCCGCGACTCATCCGCGTGCTGCTGAGCCCCGACGGCGTGCGCTTCCAGAACCCCTCGGCCGGCGTGCAGGTCGTGCCGCCCACGCCCGAGGAGGAGCACGGCCTCCACGACGACCTCCACGACGACCTGGACGAGGAGGTGGCGCAGGAGGTGTCCATCCCGCTGGGCGGCCGGCCCGCGCGCAGCGTCCGCGTGCAGCTCTTCTTCGCCGCCACCTGGATCCTGCTCAGCGAGGTGACCTTCGACTCGGGTGAGTAGAGCAGCCGCGAGGCCGCAGGTTCAAACACTTTTTTTTTTTTTCGCTGCTCACGCTGACGGCTTCCCGCAGTGCCCTTCACCGGCAACTTCACGGACGACATGGTGGAGATGACGAGGACGCCCGAGGTAATCAGCAGTGGCGGAGCCAGCGGAAACAGTGTTGTTGGCGGCGGGGCCGCGGGCAGTAGTCCCGGCGACCTCCACCAGGGCGCGGGGCAGCCGGCCAGCAGCAACGCCAACGACGTGAAGAGCGCCGGCAAAGAGATTCCTGCGTCCCACAACGAGGTGCTCAGCGCCCACAAGGACGAGGTCCCGAGTAAGTAGAGAGGCTCATCGCCTGAGACCCTGCCTTACCGGCCCGGCACGCAGCGCCACGCCACGCCCCGTTCCGTTCGTACTTCTACTCGCCGCTCGGCCCGCTCGGGTCGAGCCAGGGGCAGCCCGCTTGCCCGGAGCCACTTGAGGGGGCTAACTCTGCTCTGTCTGGTCCGGTGAGGGGGTTGACCTGGCTTGTCCCGACGGCGCCGTGCCGCGGGGCGGGGCGGGGCGGGGCGGGGCGGGGCGGAACCCCTAGGACGCGCTACTGGCTCGGAACGGTACACCGTGGCAAGTGGCGGTCGGGGTATCTGTTATCCGCGTCGCGTTGTAATCCCCCAACCCCTCGCCGCGGCCCGGGCCAACCGGCGAGTCGGAGAACAGGTACCTCGTACCTGTAATTGGAGACGGGTCTTAAAACACCGCGCCGGCTAGTCCCCCCTCCCCAATTAGTTTTAATGAATAACAGTGGAGTAATCCTTGGCGCTTTGCCGCGTTGCGCTTGCTTCGCCTTGCTTCGCAGCGAGCACGGCGACGTCGGAGCAGGGCCGCGCCACCTACATCGGCGTGGTGTCGGGCGTGCTGTCCGTGCTGGCGGTCTCGCTGGGCTGCGTGGTGCTGCTGCTGGTGCGTCGCGGCCGCCAGAAGGTGTCGCTGCTGCACAAGCACGCCGCCCTCATGTGCAGCGCCAAGGCGCCCGCCCTGGGCCAGGCCGTGTCCATGAAGGACCTCAAGTCCACCGTCAGCATCCTGAGCAACGGCAGCGTGGTCGGCGGCGGCGTGGGCAGCCTGCCTGGCAACGGAATGGTGGGCGGCGGCGGCTCGCTGTACGGCACCGGCGCCGGCATGGGGCTGGGCAGGGCGCGCCTCTCCAAGAACGGCTACGTCACCGCGCCCAGGCTCTCCATGGCCAAGAACAACGTCATGTACGGCCAGGTGGTGGCGGGCGAGGAGAGCGACTCGGAGAACTCGATGGCCTACCACGAGCCCTACAAGCTACTCATGCCGCCGTCCAAGCAGCACCAGCAGGAGTACGGCTGCCTGCTGGGCAAGGAGCTCACCCCCAGCAAGAGCACCGACTACGCAGGTGCGCAAAAAAAAAACATAAACAATAAGTGTTATTCTAGTTCATGCTGATGTTGACCTAAATGTTAACTGTTTATTTCCCCTTTTGCAGAGTTCGCGATCCGCGACGACGCCAAGTACGCCCCCTCCTCCGTGTACCACCTGTCCCTGGGCAACGGACTGAACGGCCTCGGTTCGCGGTCGCAGTACGACGTGAAGGCGCTGTTCGGGGCCTCCACGACGCGCTCCAGCGAGAACTTCTACGCCGCCACGGACATCGTCAAGGTGGGTACCTCCGCCCTTGCTGTCCTGCGGATAGCCGCGAGCGCGTGCCGATAACGGTGGTTTCTTATTGGCAGGCCGAGCGGCGCGAGCAGCACCTGGCCATGGGCAGGTTCACCTGCCTGATGCTGCCCAACGGGCTGCCCGTCCTGGAGGGCTCCGCGTCGCTGCTGGAGTTCCAGCGCCACCGGCTGCGCGTCACGCAGTCGCTCGGCGAGGGCGCCTTCGGATCGGTGAGTGTACCCCACAATCGCCGCTACACTGTACAAACCCTTTCTCTCCGTGCCTTTCGCGTGAGCCTTGTCCTCGTCCTTGCGCAGCTGCACGTCTGCGAGACGGAGGCCGCCCTCGACTTCAACGGCACGTCCAGCTTCAGCAAGCGGCAGCCGGTGCTGGCCAAGACGCTGCATCGGGGGGCCGACCCCGAGACGCAGTAAGTTCCCGACTTCATAATTTCCTTCCAGTTTTCCCTGCTTTGCAAATTGATTGCAATTTAATCTGTCCCGTTTCCCCAGGCAGGAGTTTCTGCGGGAGGCCAGCTGGCTGGCCAGCATACGCGATGCCAATGTGTGCCGGGTGCTGGCAGTGTGCAGCCAGGACGGACCGCTGTGCGTGCTGCAGGAGTACTCGGAGAGCCAGGAGCTGGCCCGCCTCGTCAGGGACAACGCCAACATAAGGTGAGTGCGCGGGACGCGGGTTCGACTCCCGCCACCGGATGCAACCCTTTCTCCCTCTTCCGTTTTTTTTTCGAGTGTCGTGAATGCGGAATCGGCTCGCGAAAGCGTCGCGGAGGAGGGCGTCAAGCAGCCCCACGCACTTGTCTAATAACGCCAGGCTGCGCCAGGCCGCCGTCAAAGTCAAAGAGCACGCAGCACCGCGCGGCACGCCACTCGCGCAGAGACGTCCCCCACAGTGTGCTAGCCGTCAGTCTGACTCCGGACAGCGCGCCGTCGCCCCGTCTCTCTCGCTCCCCTGCAGGACGCCCCACGAGGGCGAGAGAGACAGCGCGCGCCGTTCGGACTGAGCCTGTCGCGACAGCCGGGGCTCCATTCCGATAAGCCGTGCGCCACGCCGCCCGCGCCCCCCGAGGGTTAATCCCGACTCGGCGCGAGGCGAGGCGCGAGGCGAGGTACTACACTAAAACTTGGCCGCCGCCAAATCATTTACCATAATTAGCACGCGAAGCCCCTCGTCGCGGGGCCGCGGCCGCGACGACGGCGACGTGACGGATCCGCGGGGACCCGCGGCGAGCCCCGGGGGCAGCGGGCCTCTCCGTTGACGTCACCCGCAGCGCCGCCGTGTAGGCCCAGCGCCCCCGTCCGTCCCGCGGCCCGGGGCGGGGGCGGGGGCGGGGGCTCGGTTTCGCCGAGCAGGTGCCACTGTGGTATGCCTGCCTGGTCCTGGCCCTGGTCCTGGCCCCACTCCCCTCCGTCCGGGCCCTCCGGCTGTCAAGTGATGTGACTGGAAGCTTTCCGGACCACCTAGTCCCTCCGGCGGGGAGCCCCACGCGGCGCGCCGCGACGCCCGAACGGGGCTCCACGCTGACGGGGAGGGTCGGGGAGGAGGCCGCCGCCACGCCACTGCAAAGGTTCCCGGCGCACTGCTGCTATTGATAAGGCGGCCTGGCGTGGAGGGAGGCCTGCAGGCTGCATCCGAGTGGTGTCGCTCTGCCTCTCTCGCACTGCGGGTCGCTCCGTAAGGGTGCGAGAGAGACGCGGCACTGTTCGAAACCAGCCTGCTGGTGAATAGTTCACACGAGGCTGCATCTTGAGGCACTCATCGCTGCCGCCAACGCGCAGGCCGTCTAGGCCGCCGGAAGAGTCAGCAGCGAAGAGAGAGACAGGCCTGCCACTCGCAGTGGCCGACAGTTGCCAGAGAGATTTTTGTTTCTGCTCCCCCTCAGGTGACAGCCGAGCTGCCGAGGAGGCCGGTTCGCACCGTATGCCCTGCGGTGCCCCGCGTTGGCCTGCCCTGTGCCTTGGCGGCAAGTCGGACAGTTCATTGATTGACCACTCTGAGGCTGAGACGTGGCGGTCGGACGGCGGCGGAAAAGGAAAGAAGGCCCGACACGCGGAAAAGTGGTCGAAGTGTCATCGGCAGCATCGCGACGCGAGGCCGGCTAAGTGTCTTGCCGAGCAGTTCCGAAGAGTCCTGTCTCTGTCGCGCTCATGCCGCGCCCCCAGGAGTGCGAGAGAGACAGAGCGACGTACCGCGGCGGTGTTCTGTCAGACGGTGCGGCGGCGGTCGCTGAAAAAGCCTGCGCAAAGTGCACCGCGGTTGAGTCTCTCCGTCTCTGTCGCACTCGTAGGGTTGCGAGAGAGACAGAGCGAAGACGGAATCGCTCGACGGTCCACAATAGCGCGCCGAAAGTGATATCGCATTAATTGCACGCACTGGGGTAATGCTTCCGGTACAGCACTCCGACTGCAACACTGCGGCAGCCCCCGGCCCCTCGACCGCCGAGTGCAAAAGTGTCGCTCTCGAGGCCCTCCTTGTCCTTCGACGGCGCGCGGCGCGCGGCGGCACCCGGTGTGGCGGTGGCTTGCCGTCACGGCAGCACCACGCCGCATTCCGCGCGAGCAGCGTACCAGCGTGTCGGGTTTCGCTTTTGTACCGGCTCCGTTTTCAAAAGGCCCTGCACTGCTGGGAGTGCCGGCCCGGCGGCCCGTCAGTGTGCCAACGCGTGCGTGCGTGCGCGTGCGTGCGTGCGTGCGCGTGCGTGCTGCTTACGGCCAGCTGCAGCGCGTTGCAGCTGCGGGGAATGGCAGGGCTGCAGCGGCGCGGCGTGGAGGCCGTGCAGGGAATGCCGCCGCCTGACGGCGTCACATGTCGCCGCCATTATTCCCCGTGACGTTCACCTGGGGGGGGGCGGGGGAGGGATAATGAGTAGGCAGCGGGGAGGGGAGGGGCGATTAGGCAGGGCCGTCTGTAAAACAGTCTGCGCTCCACGGCCAGCCGTTGGCAGCTGTGACACATCGCCGGCGTCGCATTGTACTACCTGGCGGGCCGTGGCGGGGCGGGGCGTGGCGGGGCGGGGCACGCCGGACAGCCCCTTTCGCGGTGTATGATGGGTCGCAGCGCGCGGTTCCGCTCCGCGCATTGTAGCGGCTAATGCTGGTAATGCTGCGGTATGCTCAGCCAGGCTGCCAGCTCGGCCTGGCCGCCAGCCGGCCAGCCGCCAGCCAGCAGTCCGCTCCCATTATTTGCCCAGCAGGCGTGCGGTCGCGGCCATGCGGCCACGCGGCCATGCGCGCGGTCCAGGCCGGTCCAGGCCGCGCTCGTCGTCGAGCTCAACAAGTCCGGCTCGGCGACCGCTAAAGCTCCACCCGGTTTGCGTTGGCGGTGCCGTGGCAGTGTGGGCGCGGTGGCCAGCGGTAATCACTGCTACTGGCGGACTCTCTCGCTCTGTCTCTCTCGCTCTCGTGGGGCGGCCCGTCAGGGTGCGATAGAGAGGCCTGCCGACGGATGGCCTTTATGCAGCACCGGGTCCGGAATGGCTTACGAATTGTGGTCCAGCCTCTCAAGTTCGGGTAGGAGTCGAACGCCCGGCAGGGTAGGCCAGCCCGCCGCACAGGCCGGCGCGGCGGGAAGCCTAGGGTCGCTTTCGCGGGCGGCGTCTGCCCGGGAGGTGACGTCAGAGAAGAGAACTCGGTGACGTCATTGGGTGTTTCAGCGCAGCGAGCGCTGTGATTGGCTGCTTCAGCCAAAGCGTTCCGAGTTGTCGCCTCTCACGCACGAGGCTCTCCACGACGAGTGGCGCGCTGCCGCCTGCGGGAGTGCACCGCACACACACACACACACACACTCACGCGGACACGCGCAGGGGGTTGGCAAGCAACTCTTTCACCGTGTTGTTGGTGCTTCGCTTGGCGCCCCGCCAGTTGCAAGTGGGACAGAGTGTGTGTAGTTTGGCCTGGTGCATCACTTGCTCGTCGTGTCCCTTGGCGCGCCCCAGCACCCCGGCATCGTCCTCGACAAGGTCACTCCCGCCGGGGCGGCTCGGACTCGCGGTCTCCTTTGTGTCCATTTGGTGGCGCCTCCAGCCGGGGCAGGGCCGAGGCCGGGCTGCGGGCTGAAACGTATCTCTGGCTGAGATTATGGATCGCTCGTGAAGGAAACAGCAGAGGCCCGGCCCGGCCAGCCATTTTGACGGAGTGAGATCGAGCTTTCAGCTTGATGATCCCCAAAGCGACGTCTGGGGGCGGGGGCGGGGTCCGCGGTTCGGGGCGGGGCGGGGCGGGGCGGGGCGGGGCGGGGCGGGGCGGGGGATGCCCGCAGACCCCCCGTCTCACTGAAAAGGTCGGCCCGGCAGGCAACCCCAAAAGCCGAAGCAGCTTTTTCGAAGCACCAAACTCCTCACTGGACCAAAAGCAAAAAGGCCTCTCGGCGCGGGGGCGGTGTGGGGGTGGGGCGGGGGTGGGGCGGGGGCGGACGTGACGAAGTGAAACATTAGCGGATCAGGCCGACTGGCCCACCGGCTCGGCCGGGCGCTGCGGACAGCGGCAAGGACAGAGGGCAGCCTGCGGTGTCGTGGCCAGGCAGAGCCAATGGCCAGCTTCCTGGTCCCCCCCCCCCTCCCGCAGCCTTCTATCAACCCAACACGCGCTCTATCTCCCAGCAAACTGCGACGAGTTTGCCTTTTACGCCGGCCTGGGGTTCAAACACCGCCACCGCGCAGATGAGTTTTTTTTTCGTGGCCCATCTTGACCCCACGTCGGACGTCGTGGCGGAAGCACCATGTGCGTGTGTGCCCCCCTCCCCCCTTTTCCTCGGTGCTTTCAATATCCAGTCCGCACCGCGTGACACGACTCATAACTCTGCCTGCAGGACGAAGAACCCGACGGACGGGCGGACGGACGAGGAGAGGCTTTGTGGAATGGGGAGAGAAGGAAGTGCAGGGGCGGGGGAGATGGAGGGAGATGAAGGGAGAGCAGAGGGATGATGCAGTGTTGGCCGAGGCGGCGGGGGTGTTGGCCTCCTCCTCAGGCTGGCCTCAGCTGCCAGCTTTTTCCCTTGCAAAACTTTATTCGCTTTTTACGGCCCCAAAACGGTATGGCCGAAACCACACGGCGGAACTCGGCGCGTACCGGCGGGGCTGCAGGGGGCTGGGGGGCTTGGGGGGCTGGAGGATGAAGGCGGCTCACGTAGGGCTGCCATCATGCCGCCGCCAAGTATAGACACATTTCAATACACCTGGGGGTGGCGCGGTGCGGCGCGCCCGTGGTAAAGGCAATCAATACATTTTCCGACCCTGCCTGCATCGCTGTTTTCGGCGGCTGTTTCATGGTGGACTGGGCAATCACAATAATGGGTTCTCGCGAGTGAGAAGTATAAGGGGCGACTGCCTTGGCGTTGGCACACCAGTAGTACCACAAGCCGAGAAGTTCAGAAAACACTATCCCTTCTACCCTAAACATTTTTTTAGAAAAACGGGGCACTCTGCTCCAGTTCCGGTTAGAGGGGTGAATCCGGTGAATCAGAGGGAAGCCCCACTCGGGCCGTGACGCGGTGTGGGGATTACAATTACCTGGGGCGGCACGGGGCTCCAGCAGCCCCAGCGATCACCGAGCTTCGCCGCTCCGCCGCGTCGCCCTTCACTGGTCGAAGCCCTGAAGGGCTCCGTGGAGGCCGTCCCCTGCCTGGCCCTGCGGTAGGCCCACGCCTCCGAACAGTGCCACGTCGCTATTCTCTCTCACTCGTGGGGCGGTCGGCAAGGGGTGCGAGAGGGACAGTTGGGAATGGGCTTGCTGGCCCGGCTCCCGGCCGGGCGTCGCGGCCGGATGGCCGGATCCTCCCTCGACCCGTCTCTGTAATGCCCGGTGACCCGTGCCGCCCGCCTACTAGCCTCCAGGACGGCCTCCAGGACGGCCTCCAGGACGGCATCCAGGACGGCATCCAGGACGGCCTCCAGGACGGCCTCCAGGACGGCCTCCAGGACGGCCTCCAGGACGGCCTCCAGGACGGCCTCCAGGACGGCCTCCAGGACGGCCTCCAGGACGGCCTCCAGCGGGAGCCGCTGGAAGAGCGCCTCTCGCTCGGTCATATCGGCGGCAAGGGAGAGCAGGGAGAGCATCGCCTCTGTATTTGCGGCAACATTTCATTCCAGCGCAGAGTAGCGTGCGGCCCGCACAAAGGGAATCACTGCACGGTCCTTGCACCACACACTACACTCACAAAAAAAGAAAAAATATGATTGCATTTTCATAACCTTAAAGGAAAATGTAAGACAAAATGGCTCTGGAATTTGGTCTGCGAAGCTGAAAAGCGCGCGTCATGAAAGCTGAAATTAAATCCGTTAAAACTTTGAGGGCGAAATTGTGTAAAGACAGGAGCGTAAAGCCGCGGGATGGAGAAATGTTGGTGTCGTGAAGGCAGGAGGCAGGGCCCGCCCCGCCCGCCGGACCCGTCTCTTACCGAATGGCGGCCTGAAATTATGACGTCATTCCAGGGTCTTCGTGCTCCGCGCGCTCCGTCTCCGCGAGGCACACAATACGCGCATAAACCGATCTAATTTCCTGTCAACGTTCCGCCTCTCTCGCGCCCTGCGGGACGCCGCGCGAGTGCGAGAGAGACGGAGCGACGAAGCCGCTTTGAGAATCTTGGTGGGGCGACGGCGCCGCCACTGGCGAAGCCGTTCGGTCTGCGACGAGAAGTGCGACATGTTCTGATGGCGGCCCCGCCTCCTCTCTGTTGTAGTTACGGCTGCCTCATCTACATGGCCACGCAGATCGCGTCGGGGATGAAGTACCTGGAGGCGCTCGAGATCACCCACCGCGACCTGGCTGCCAGGTTGGTGCACCCTCTCCAAACAAACTGCTTTCATGTCAACAAAAAAAAAAAACTTTTTAAAAAATTGATTTTTTGCGTGTGTGTAGGAACTGCATTGTAGGGCGCAACTACCAGGTGAAAGTGTCCGACCACGCCGTCTTCACCGCCGAGTACGACTCCGAGTACTACAGCAGCGACACCGGCTCCAAGCTGCCCGTGCGGTGGATGGCGTGGGAGGCCCTCCTTTTGGTGAGCGTCTCCTCCCTGTTTTCCGACAAGTTTATTTTTTAGTCAATTTTCTGTCAATTTTTTTTCTTGCAGGGCCAGCACAGCCCCCGCAGCGACGTGTGGTCGTTCGCGGTGACGCTGTGGGAGGTGCTGGGCCGGTGCCGCGAGCTGCCGTTCTGCGAGCTGACGGCCGAGCAGGTGGTGGAGAACTGCAGCCACTGGTACCAGGACTCGGGGCTGCAGCGCGCGCTGTCGCGGCCGCCGCTCTGCCCGCGCGAGATCTACGACCTGATGCTGGAGTGCTGGCGCCGCAACAAGGACACGCGGCCCCGCTTCCACGAGATCCACCTTTTCCTGCAGCGCAAGAACCTGGGCTACGAGCCCGGCTACGAGTGCGGCTAGCACCAGCGCCGCCATGCTCACTGAGGGTTTGCTCACTGTGCGCGCTAGAGCGCCGTAGCCACTTGTTTTGTTTTTGTCCGACACTTGTCGCGCGTGCGTGTCTGTGTGTGTGTATGTTGGTCGGTTGGAGGGGAGCGGAAAGCAATGTGATACTTGTTAGTTTCTAATGCGGGAATTCCCCCGGTGAGAGGGGTTTTGCAAACGTACTGTGTAAGGGGAAAATGTTGTTTTAAGTGTGTTGTCATGGTGCTCTTGTGTAAATACGGTGTTTTTGTTTGTACATATCAACTTTTACTTTCTGGACCCACTGTCTCGGAGGCCATGCGTGGCTCTAGGCCGTGGAGGATCGTTGTTAAGGACTTTCCTTATTCTGGAGCTGTTCAAACTCCTAGTGTAATAGGCAATAAAATCGGCAGGCGACTCACGTTACGAGTGTAACTTGCGCCAAGCCCCGAATGTTGATATTTGTAAAGTATTTCAGACAGTCAGCCGCTCGGCGGCATGCACAGGTCATATCATTACTATTTGCCTTTGAGAGGGCCACCTCCCTTTTGTGTTTCATTCTCTAGTCTTCTCACCATATTGTAAATGTTAAGGTTTTCTAACGTCTACATGCCTTTCTCTTGTAAAATGACGAAACTCTGTAAACGTGATAATATTTATTTCTGAAATTAACCTCTAAACATAAAGTGGCAGTTTTCTTTTCAGAAATTCGAAGGGAACGTGTCACGATTAGATAAATATAGAAGTGGGGTCCAAAGAAATATCTTTTGTAAATCCGCTCGCATGGAACCAGCGTTGTCATGTGGCTCCTAACAGCCGGTTCTCTTTTTTTGTGGCTTTTAGAACTCGATCCTTACGCGGATCTAAAAGAAAATGATAAATCCTTTATGTTTGTTGTCTAGCATCTGGCAGTATTTTTTAAATATTGTATTTCTATGTCTTCCTGTCTACGCGGCTGCCTCGTCAGGCCTCTTGAATGTGATCTCAATAAGCGTCGTGTGGCTTGCTCCTTTCCCTTCGGGTACGGTCACAGGGTGTGTAGACGTGGCTGTACTTCTCCTTCTGCTGCTCTTGAGTTTCAACTCTACCGTAGCCGTTTTAACATGTTTCTTGTTAAAGTAGTGGTAATTTAGCTCACATAGTCTGACATTTTTGTATCTAAAACATTATGAGACCTAAAACCAGAGGATCGTCTATTTTCCATGTGTTACTGTTGTAGCTGTAAAGCTGTGCGACTTAAAAAAAACTTGGATTTTTTGATTTGAAACAAAAAATATTTGGTACGTGCAAGTAAAAGCGTTAAAAGGGATACTGCCCTCCTATAGAATTAGACAAGCCTACCTTGTTTGGCATAATGTTTACAGAAGCAATGTAAATATACCTAAGTATTTCTAACTTCGAAAAATTCTCGCACCTGACCAGACTTGTAAATATTTTTCTATGAAAAAATCATTATTAACAATTAATGTTAGTGTTTCATGGATACAATCTCAATTGTGAATCACTAAAGGACAATCATCATCTTATTCACTGTCTCTCTGAAATAGTTGTCTTCATATAGCTGCATACTTTTTTTTAAACGTAACTTAATTTCCCTGTCAACTTTTCTTAATTCACATTAAGGCTACTTACTCCCTTGATAATTCAAGAGGAAAAAATTACCTTGATTAGAGTTTCCTCGCTTTAGTCATGTTGCAAGGCACTCCTTTGGCAGTGCTCGTGGTAGAATAATAAGCAAAACAAACGCCAGTACAAACTTAAAGTAAGGGAGAAATAAATTATATTGCACTTGAAAAAGTAAAACTCACAATCCAGTTTAGATACTTAACGAGGTGATATGACCATACAATCACGTTTATCATGTACAAGATTTATAAAGGTCTTTCATTTCTTTTCTGTTTTGTCGACAATTTTAGAGGAATAGTAAAATGGTTAGACATATCACGACAGCAGCAAGTCATTGCGTGGGTATGAGCGACCTTGAGTCATTAAATAATGTATGAAAGGGAGTATATAAATTAAAACAGTTTAAACACACAAGTCGTTTTTATTTCATCCATCCTCATCACGGCTCCATGTCCGAGGGGAATGCCCAGCAGGAACGGGGGTTCAAAACAATCGTCGGCCCGGACACAAGAGTGCCCCATTCGGGTGTTGGTCACCGAGGCGCTCGGGTCAGACGGCCTCCAAAAGCCAAACAACACTTAGAACTTGGAACATGCAAATCTGAATGGGGCGGTGTCTGGGCTGGCCGTGGCGGACAAGGGTGAGACCGCGGGGTAACTTCATCAAGACGGCCGTCGCCGGGCCGGATTACCCGATTACCCGGCCGGATGCAAAAGATGAGGCGACGCGGGCAAAACACTTACCCCGGCTTACCCTCGATCAAGGTGCGGCGCCGGCCCCCGGGTTGGGGGAGGGGGTAATCCCCGTAAGCCTGCGTCGAAGCCTTGGCAGCCTGGTAGGGATGCGGTCTGCGCGTGGACACAGGGGGGCGTCCCAGGGAGCGGCTGGTTCACGGTGCAGCTGGGCACAGCGCAAGCGCTGCCCATTTTATAAACTGACCTCCTCAAATTTGCGACGCCCCTGTTCACCACGCTCGCCCAGCCCGGCGTGCGGGCGATGTGGGCGTTTTTCACAAAGGTGCGGTCCTGCATGGGGGCCTGACCAGCCCGACCCCCTTCAAACAAAGTTGGCGCTCAAAGGCCGAAGCAACTTCCAGGGCGCGGGGCGGGGCAGGCAGTCTGTCAGGCCGGCAAGCCTGGGCAAGCCTGGGCAAGCCGCGCGGCGGGGCAGCCTGTTTTGATGAAACAAAAAGAAGGAAGCCGCAACAACATTTAATAAAACGGAACGCACTGGAACGCGCAATTAATTAACCAGAGCTAAGCCAATTGTCGGTCGGAGTTATTCGGCCGCGCTCGCGCTGCGTCCGAAGCGTCACCCCGTCTCTGTCGCTCTTATCCGGCGGGCCGTAGGGGTGCGAGAGAGACGGGGCGACGAAATGATGCTCTTCGGGATCGCTCGGCTGTCCGGGGGCCCGTGCTGCGTGCCGCCTGGCTGAATATGGAGGGACCCAAAACAGCGGCAGCGCGCCGCGCCCCCACCGCTTCGAGGTCAGGCCTGGCTGGCTGCCCGCCTGCCTGGCCGTAGCTTGGAGCGATGCCGTCCGATTCAGGACAGTCCTGTGTGACGAACACCACCTGCCTGGCCACAGCAGCGACCTCCATGGTGCAACGATGATCCTGCTCGTCCAATCACACGGCAGCGGGGAGGGCAGTCCAAAACAAATCTCCGCACGGTGACCTGCTCTGTGCCCTGCTTCATCTCGACCCGGAGCGGGTGCCACACGCGCGCGGGCTGGCTTGGCCGCGAGGAGGCCAGAGGGCGGGGCGGAGCGCGGCGACGCGGCAGTCTAAGGAGATAAGACCTTCCTGCCTTCCCCTCCCCCCTTCACCCGCAACCGTGCCTCGCCGCCCCGCCACGCTGGACCAGGACAAAGGCGGATCTAATAGTCCATTCACAAAGCAAAGTGTGGTAGCAGGCGGGCGGGCAGGCTGGACGGGGTGCGTGGCCTGGAACAGCCTGAAACAGCCTGGAACCGCGCGCGCATGCCGTCAGATCCGAGGCCCGCGCCCCTGCCTTTCCAATTCCAAGCTTTCCAAGTTGCAGCGCGCGCGGCGGCGAGGCGGCCCGGACCGAGATGCTGGCCGAGATAACCTCCGCGATGACGACGCGCTGCTGCAGACTGATTCCGTGGGGCGTTTTTCGTCGCTCCGTCTTTCTCGCACCTACAAGGCACGCCCCATGAGTGCGACAGAGACAGAGCGACGAAAACGCCTCTGCCCGCATCGGCGGAGCGAAAGCTAGCGGAGCGAACGGAGCGGCATAGCGCACCCACTGAGACAAAACGCGCGCGTCGTCATCGAGGCCCTCGCCGCCGTCGACTATCTCCGAGCGTCCATCTGCACTTCCGACCGGCGCAACCATTCACCGGCGCCCAAAACATCTCGGCGCGGGGATCAGAGTCGACGGGGGCCTCGGCGGCGAGCCCGCCAGCCCCAAAGCAGTCGTCAATCAGACGGCACCACGGCCACACCGTGTGCACTGGGCGGCACTGGGCGAATTCGCGCGCCGCCTCGCACACACACACAGACGGGTCAACACACACACACAGCCATGTTCGACGGGCCGCAGAGCCATGTGTCTCGCTGGCGCGCTGGCGGCCCCACTCCCCACTCATACAGTGTGCGCGCGTCGTGAAATATTTAAAAGCCGGGCGGAAGGCCGCGTCCATTTGTCGGTCCGACGAACAAGGGCCGGCCGGGCGGACTCCGAACCACGCCACTCGTCTCGCTCGCACCCGTGGGGCGGTCCGCAGGGCTCCGCAGGGGGTGCGAGCGAGACGGAGCGACACGCCACCGGCCGCGGGGCCGCCGCGGGGCAGGCAGGCTAGGCTACACACCACTGTTGTTTTAATTCACCTCTCCGCCCGGGACGGTTCGGCTCGGCTCGGCTCGCCACGGCCCGGCCCGGCCCGGCCCGGGACGGGACAGGATCTGTGACGGTGATTGGACTGTGTGATCCCCGGTGACGTCACTGCGTCACTGCCTGCCCTCCATAACGACGGCCGGGCCGAGCGCGGCCAGGAGCAGTGACATATTGGCGCGAACTAGCTAACTTGGCCCGTCTCTCACCTAGGCCGAATAGCGAGGATTAAATGGGAGCGACGTTGACGTCAGCCATCAGCAGTGCCTCCCCCTCTCCCCGACGCCATTCAATGTGGCAACATTGGCCAGACTGCCTAATCAACGGACGGCAGCCAAAGCCCCACGCCCCGCCACGCCCCGCGGCCCACAGAAGTGACACTGAGGAATTACTTATCCAAGTCGGCCCATTCGGATCACCTCCATCGGCCCGGCCTCTGCCGACAGCCAGCGGTCGCCGCGCCCCAGAGAGGCCCCCAGAGAGGCCGTGGCCACGGGGACGCAAAAAAAAAGCCAATTGGCCGAGAGTCGGTGGCTCACGCGCGTATTGTCAGAGAATGTGAAGCGGGAAAATTTGCCGGGGAGTGTACGCGGACCAGTAAACAGCAGCTTATGCTGCTCTGGCGCAACCCAGGAGCGCCACGCAGGAGTATCCCTGTGGCGAAGCGAGAGTGCCAGTGTGTGTGTGTGTGGGGGGGGGGCACACCGCAAAGGCAGAGTGTTAAATAGAACAAAGCCCTCAAGGCGCAGCTTGTGAAGAGCGAGTTGTTTGTTCCGTCGGTCGGAAACGCACTGGAGAGGAACCTCGCCGAACGGAACCGCTACAAACACCCGCACACTAACACGCCCGCAGTGCGTATGCCACTGCGTGGTGCGTCCGGGGCTACAGTACACCTCTCGCGATGCTGCCGAGCCGCCGCATTTTCGGCCCACGCGTCGCCGCATTTTTGGCCCACGCGTCGCCGCATTTTTGGCCCACGCGTCGCCGCATTTTCGGCCCACGCGTCGCCGCATTTTTGGCCCACGCGTCGCCGCATTTTTGGCCCACGCGTCGCCGCATTTTTGGCCCACGCGTCGCCGCATTTTTGGCCCACGCGTCGCCGCCCTTTTATAAAATATAGCCCGGCGGGCGGGGCAGGGCAGCGGGACCGGTGAGCTGGAAAGGATGGCCTCTTCGCTACCTGGAACCACCGGCCGACCGGCGCACGCAGTTGACTAACACAACAGACCACTCAAGTGAATGACACCCCCCATCGCCTCCAGCCGGACGACTAACCGCGGCCGATTTGTCGCCGGGGGCGTGGAGGCCTGGAGGCGCCGTCGACGGGGTGCCTACCGCGGCGTTGTTGTCGGCCGAGGCAGAGAGGACCGGGGCGCCAGGGCAGTGCAGCCAGACTCCTCGCTCCATTACCAGATCACATCCTGCCAGCGTGCCAGCCGCGCGCAGCCACCGGCTGCCACGCCACACGAGGGTGGGATTGGCCCAGGTAACTTACCCCCGCCCCCGCCCCCACCCCCTTCGACGCCTTCCCGTTCAGGGAAGCTCCAGGGACCAAATGGGATTGAAGAGCGACCGATCCGACCAGCTGGCCACCAGAAGCACACCTTTGCCTTTCGACTTGCACCCCCTCCTCCCCTCCTCCCCCTTCTCATTCTATTTCCGTCCATCCCCAAGGAACCCCCTCCCCCCACAGCCCCCACCCAGGACGCTGCCGACAAGAACGCCCGGCCGACCGGGCAGCAAACCACTCGATTAAATTCACCCGGCAAAATAATTGCGAAAACAACGTCTCTTTTGAAGGTGAATCCGTTCCCGGAGTCACCCTGGGCCTCCCCCACCCCTCCCTAGGTTCGTCTGCTCCTCGGCGGCCCAATGACTCCCCCCTACCTGCCGACTCCCCCCTCAGAACATATACCGGCCGCCAAGCTATAACTGTCATGATTTTTTTTTCAATATAACATGAAATACAGTCCAATAGCCGGCCTGGCCATGCCATGCGGGGCGGGGTGGGGTGGTGTGGCAGTGTAGCCGTGGAGGCCGTTGAGGTGGTGGTGCTGCCAGCCATCGAGGGTTTTCAAGAGCAGTGTGTATCGCACTTAGGCCCGCCGGGGACTCCGCCCCCACCCCCTGGGCCGGGCCGGGCGCACCCTCGCCTGCCTTCGCCCCGCGCCCGCCGCGAGGCCTGTCTTTCCGAAGGCTCAGTTCCGTGTTATGTTTCAATGCGCTGCAGCAAACTGCCGCGCCGTGTCGCAGAGGATTTCGCGCCGTCAAACTCACCGCGCGTCGCTCTGTCTCTCTCGCACGTGTACGCGGCGCGTCGTGAGTGCGACAGAGACAGCGTGACAAAGCGAGCCGCGGAACCATACCCGTCCGAACGCGCTCCCTTCCCTTTTATTCCCCTTCTCTCTCGCCGCGGTTTTGTTTTGAATTTTCGCGCCGCCACCGACTGGATCCGGCGAACGCACGCACACGCTCACACTGGCTCGCACACACACGGCAGCGTGCATCCGTAACGCTGCGGCCGCTATGGCTGGCCGTGCTTTACGACGCGG